TTATTCAATATTATTTTTATAAATTACTCTATAAAAATGTAAGATTTATTGTAAAATTTATTGTAAACTTATTATAAAATTACTGTAATAAAACTTTAAATCTTGAATGAAAAAATAAAAATCTAAAATATTTTGATATATGATAATTAAGTATTATATTTTAATATCGATAAATTCCTTAATAATAAATATACTTCCTTTTGTGTAGTATATATTTAAAATGAAAATTTTAACCGACTATGAAATCTAAAACCACAAATGTATAATTTTAAAATATATTTTAATGATGTATAGTAGGAAAATTCCACTAGCTGAACATATATATACATATACATATATATATATGTGTATATGTTCAGCTAGTGGAATTTTTCTACTATATGTCCACATGTATTATAAAAAAAATATATATATATATAAAATGTGTGTGTGTGTGTGTGTGTGTGTGTGTGTAAATATAGATATATAATAATCTATTATAAAACGAGATGAAACAAAACGAGAAGTGAAGATAAAAACTAGCATATCGAAATATAGAGAAATTTACATCTATTGATGCAAAATAAGATTTTTAATGATAAACCATACAAAATTAATATTTATATATGCCGTCATGAGAATATTAATATACAGAAATATTTTCATAGTTTGACTCCGGAGTAATTCAGCTTTATAAATATTTAAAATACAATTAAAATGTTAATAATAGATGGGCTGTGGCTGAAATATTAATTGAAAGCTATTTTTATAGCTTTTTGACTTTAAAAATTATAAAAAATAAATATATTTTGCTATATTTTAGCATTGGTATAGAAAGCTAATGTGTACAAAAAAACTACAGTAGATAACATTGTACGCCTTCGATAACATTAGTCATTAAATTAAGATTATTTCAATTAAAAGTCTCATTAAATTATATTTATTTATACATATTTCATGGAAAATGTATTATTTAATTGCATTATTATTTAAACGGTGTCAAGTTTATGTACTGAAATATACATTATTATATTCTGAAGAAAAAAATAGCATTTTTAATTGTGTAATATTCAAATTAATAATTTTATGAGAACATTTTGAACAACAGATTATAAATAATTGTAACACCTATTTCGTATAACAAATTACAAATTCAAAATGTCACAAAAAATTTTGTGCAAGAAACGTTATTCATTTTATGTTACTATATATATCAAGTAAGTCTTAGAAAATTAATTTGCAAAAGTTCACCTGTCAATAAATTATTATATTCTTTACAGTAGATATACAAATAACTCTGATAGTTTACATTTAAAACTAAGATAATTTACACATATGCTATATATATATGTATAAATCTTTTGTCAAGATATTTTTCGTATATCAATCATCTTATATTCAAGGATAATATGTACTAAGATATATTTCACTTAATTTAATGTATTTCATTACAATATTGCTGGCAAAACAAGAGTTTGCTATGCTACTAGCTCTAGTAAAACAATTGTATCAAAATGTTACGTTTAACATTTTCTGCTAAGAAGCGAGTAGGTAGTACTCATGTAAATAATATTCGAGCAAACTATCTAAATAGCAATATAAATGTGATGTAAATAAAAAAATGTTCAATATTAAATATTGCAAGTGTTACAAGAAATTATATCTTATTGTCTTTATATATAGACATCTGTGCAATAAAGTATATGTAATCGAATTATACATACGACAATCTAATTTAAATAATTTACTTATACAGGGTATTCCAGAAATAGATAGCCAAACTTTATTATCATTCTTTTGTTTCTAAGGATGAAAAAAGGTCATATAAACGTAAGTTCGGAAATTCTTCCTTTTTGAGATATAAACATTTTATTTGCGAGAGAATATATTAAAGATTTAAAACTTGAATATCTGCTCACTCGATATTGAAATAAATCTGGTAATATTATTTTAACTATGTAATGTTTAGATAGAAACTAACTTACTATGATAAACTGCCTTCGATGACAGTATCACTTGCTGTACCGTAATATTTACTTCATGTAATATTTATTCAACTTTTGAGATGAACAAAAAGTATTTATATCGCATAATCAAAAAGGAAGAATTTCCATACCTATATTTATAACTTTTTTTTTATCTTTAGAGACGATAGAAAACGATACCAAAATTTGGCCATCTATTTTTTAGGAATCCTATATAATAAAAATTATCAATTTATAAATTATGTATATTAGGCTGATTAAATTTTAATATAATAAGACATTTTTTTTTCTCTGATGTAACAAATTATGAAAGAAATTCTATACGTTTTCTTTTCTATTTGGAACTTTAAAATGCATAAAGTGCTACAACACAAACACAAACATTATTGTGCGAACATAATTTTTGTTTATTTTATAAATAAACTCTTATTTTTTTCTTTGTAATTATAACATTATTTTAAATAATTTTTTCCTGTATAAAGTTTATTTTGTATTTGTTTTATAAATAATATCTGTTAAACTTTAATATACACGTACATAAAATAAGAAACAAATTTTATTAATCTATACTTATGACAA